TCAGAATGAATGAATTGTAGTCTGGGCACTCCAAGAGCTAAATTAAAGTCTACAGTGTTATTGCCCAAAACTTACCACTGCATATGGGAAGTGGGTAACAAAAAACCCCAAACTGCTTGTTTAAAAGCAGACTGCTTTTGTCTCATAGCTAGTACAGTATTTTTAAATGCAATTTCATATTGTTGTAGGCTGTGCTGAGAAGCTACACCCAATCAAGCAAATGACCAACCACCTAACATACCACTTTAGAAAAGGAGATCCAAGACTTCGCAATCTACACTATGTTCTCATCACATCAAAGCCAGAGCATTTCACTCTTAAACCAGCAACAGCCTGATTAGGACTACAATATTTATCCTTTCATAGCCAGTTCTCTTAAAGAAGGTAGGTAACACACTAGTTCTGCTTTACCTCCTACTATCAGCCTTTGCCCAAACTCCTTCTGTGTCCCTGGCGATGACTGAAGTTAAAAGAGCACTGTGTCCGGAACTGTGTTTTGCTGCTTGATAGGCAGCCTGGTCACCCCAGTAGGGGCACTCAAAGGAGTTGACAGCAAGGGACTTTTAAATATGGCCCTGGCCGAGAAAGTAATTATTAATCTAGTTCTTTTCCTCCAAATACACTACGTCCCTGCATGGAATTTGTTGTCCCATTAAATGAGGTTCCAGAGAACAGCTGGAATATTGTTTACAGCATCAGTACCCATGAGCAAGGGCAGCCTCTCCACTCTTTTCCATCCTACAGTGTCCATTTTTTGTCCCAGTCATTCTGATTTAACTCAAAGGACACAATGCAGGCAATTGGATACCTGTATTTCTTGCATTCTGGGAGCACTTAGTCGTAGTTCTCACCCATAAAAAAACACTCAATATAAGCCATGTGTTTGCATAGATATTTAGAAAATGTTAATTAAGGTAAAGTTAAGACAGAAATAACATACACACAGGTTGCTAACAGCATACTGTTCTTGTAAGAGCACAAGTCTGTGAGAAATAATCTGGTTCTGAGGACTGAATTTGTGCACACAATTGCAGGGAGCCACATGTCGTAATCAGGTTCATAAATTTATCAAGCTGCATCTTAAAACCAGTTAGGTTTCTCGTTCCCTTTGTTTCTTTTAGACAGCTGCTCCAGACCCTTCATTCCTCTGAGAATTAGAAAACTTTTCTTCCTTTCTTTCTCTTTTCAGCCTAAATTTATTAATGGATAATTTATATCTCCTGTATTATGTGCCAACACTCTTTTACTTAAATGACTCTTCTTTCACCGCAATGCTTACCCCTTCACATATTTACAGGGAACAAGCATCCCTACCGAGCCACTCTTTAGCCTCCTCCCGTGGCAGGAGCACTCCATTCCCTTCGTTACCCCACCAGCCCTCTCTGCACCTGCTTCCAGTTTTAATTCAACCTTCTCAGATACGACTGACGAGAAGCATGCAGCAGTGTTCCACACAGCTCTTGCCAGCCCTTGATGACGTTAATATCTTCCTGCCCTTACTGCAAACATTTCTTCTGACATAACAGGATTCACACGTCACTATTTAGATGTTGGTTTCATTGTTTGGATGGCTCATAATGACACTGCCATAAGCAAATTCACCCAATCTTTCTGTTCCTAAACTGTATCAAGGATTATCCTTAGCTTACAGGATGCAGTCTTACTGGTCCTAATTTCACAATCATGCATTTTGGAGTTTTGTATTTCACTTAATTTCATGATTCAAACTCCCTAGCATATTTCATAAATATACTTTTTATCCTAACACCATTAATAGAAGCATTAAACAATATATCCCTTCCACCCTGACAGTTCCTTTTCAGCTGCAGTTACTTCCCTTTGTCTAGGCCCTTCATATTAGAATTTAAGCTGATCACTATCCTACCTAATTTGATCTACATTATAAAAAAAACCAAATCCCACCAAACACCACAGAAAACCACACCATATTTCCTCCATCAAGTAAACCAAAGAATAAAATCAAGCTAAGTTTACCAAAGTACATTATGATGGGATATACTGTATTTAATTTTGATCTGGTCTCATTATAAAGAGATAAATTCATGAAAGATCTAATAAAAGGTATTAAACAGCTTTAGTATAGGAGGAATTAATTCTCTTATGTAGTAATAAGAAGTTCTCTTATATAGTAATAAGAATTATTTAGATTATATTTTGCAGGAAAAAAATAAAAGAAGAGAAAAAGTAAGGAGAGACAATAGCAACGTCGACCACATTATATGATTTACAAAACAGTGGTACAAGAAGGAAAGAACATTTTCAAATATGCTTCATTTAAAGTTGCAGTCATTTTCACAATGTTTTATTCCCATAAAGTGGGTAAAGTGAGCTTTGGCTCCACCTCTTCCTTTCAGTAATGAGCCAATCAAGACGTCATTACAAGCAGAAAAAGTAGTAGCACTTCATAAAATGTTACAGCAACTTACACTCCACCTAATCCCCTAGAAAGGGGAATTTCAACTTCAAACTTCCCTCTCTAGGGACACCAGTAGGTGGCACAGTACGTACAGATCTAGATCTTCAGGTCAGTGTTAAAAAATAAGAAAGAGTAAGCGTAAATAAAATAAAGTTTAGAGAAACCTAAGTCAAGATTAGTAAGAAGTGTTATATACTTACTCTCAAAAATATTTCCCTAATACATCTTTATAGTGGTGTCAGATTGCTAGCCTTACTGTACTAATCAACAAATTTGTGCTGGTGCTTATGCACGGTGAGCTTTGAGATTCCATTACTTCTGGTGATTAAATCAATAATACATAACTTTATATAAGTATTTTTTCCTAGTTTACAGTTATTAACTTACATATACTGTGTGTATAGGAGTTTGGAATTAATCCTGAAAGCTGTATGTAAGTTAAATCAAATGGGAAACTGCATTGAAGTTAACAGGAATCACAGACAAATCTTAGAGAATGAAGATCCCCAAATACTGCAACATACCACTGTCCTTAGCTGGTCGTGCCACAGAAAGCTTATTGTAAGCATTACAGCACGACTTAAAAGTTCATAGGAAAGCTTAATTATTTCATTATATCCAAAGTACAGTACATCCTGTTCAGAATGTCTGTGCTGAACTCAGTGGTACCGAATTATTTTCAGAGCATCATTGTTCTTAGACAAGAAGAGGACGTGTGATGCCAAGGCCTTAGTAAAATCTCTGGTTTTATCCCTTGGTTTCTTATTCATTTGTAATCATTCATATGTAATGAATAATTCTTAATTTATTTCAAATAAATCTACTGATACATATCTATTCTACATCTCTTTTTATAAAATATTTATTAATATGTTTATTAACTATTTCAAATCAACATTTACTCAAAATTTCAGATCACAAGCTTCCTTACTTCATCATGTTCATCTTTTGAACTTAATTGTCATTTTAATATTCAACCATTCAACACATATGTGATTACTACTTAATAAAACTCTTAAAATTATCCTCTTGAGACACAGTTTAGCATGCCTACTATTGTTTCTAGTGGCACGCAAGACTTCAGTAGGTTTTATAACCCAATGAGGATATCAGGTACTGTTTCTTTAAAAACTATACAGTCAGTTTCCAGCAGCTTGGTCACACCTGGAGTCACTATATTACAAGCCCAGGTCTGTACATGCCCCTACAGTACACACACTGGGCAGAATAGGCAACACTTTCTTGATCACACAAATCATGTTATCTTTTTCCAATGTGCTGCTTGAGAATCTTGGAGAGTTTAGGCAGAACACATTCATGGTGCACAAGGTCACCACTCTTCATTGCTAGATTGCTCTGGTATCTACTTTACACACTAAAATGGATGCAAACCCTATAGTATTCTAAACTGATATCATGAGAGGTAACTGCTAATTAAAGTTGTCCTAATGTAAATGCTCAGTTCTATTTCGGGTATAAATCTTTTTTCACTTTAAATCTGAGGTCTTGGTTCTCATGACACTTTGACCGATAACTACGTACCATTCATTATTATTATTATTAAACCTTTGCCAAATGTCTGCAGAGAAAGATAAGTTTTGGCAACAAGTAACTGAAGGTTGCTGAGTCATCTTCAGTAAAAGATGCTCTACACATCTTCATTTCCAAGCTGGCTGTTTTACTCCACATAAGGTAACTAACATCTCTGGCAGATCTTCACCTTTCATGGTTAATTCTCCCTAATGTGACAGAGCAGTGCTGTGTCTTGACTGGAACAATGGCAATAATCACAACAATGAGATCCCTTAAACTTTTATTTTGGAACCATGAAGTGCTTCTCTTCTGACTTGAGCACAATTGTATAAAATATCTGAAAATATAAAATTCTTTCTCTCCTTTACCTAGAAGTGGCTAAGTACAGGAAGGGAACAAAGAAATCAGATCCACATAAACTGCTTATTGATCAAATAAACTGAAGCATACCATATGGGGGAAGGTTCCAAGAATCATTTAATTACAAAGGGCATGAGACAAATGGATCCCCAAATCTTCCTGTCTCCATTAAGGAAGGACTGTACAGCCTTCCAGTAAGTAAGACAAACACTGCCTAGTCAGCATCAGAAAATATTCATTTGAAGTAGACAAAGACTACAGAACCAATGAGAATAGTTACAACTATTATTACGTAGTCATGAGACTGGTTAGAAATACTTACCAATACTTTTCAGGACCTCTGAGAACTAGCGACATTATTCACACTGAAGAAATGTGTAGGGACAGTTTTGATTTACCAGTTACTAAAAAGACAGGGTTGTTCCCCAACAAGGTTTTCTGGGAGGGTGGTTGTCCCTGTGAATTGCATATGGCTTTTCCTATATGTGTTTCTTCTATGGAGACTGCTAAAAAAGTGGAAACCTTAAATTGTTCCAATTTTGATTCAATTTTACAAGACATAGCAAATATTCTGCTAAAAAAACATATTCTACTCAAGTTCTCTGCTCTGCAATGAAGCTCAAGTAAATGAAAATGCCACTCAATGTAAGACAAATAATACAAGTATTACCTTTCTAACTCAGCAATTTTCTTATCTTTGTCATTCTTCTCATTCTCTACTTCCTTGAGTATTTCTAGAAGTCTGTCAACCTCAGCCTGAGCTTTGCCACATTCTTCTCTATAGTACGATGCCTCTTTGTCAAGCTGTTTCATTCTGTCTGCAAATTCTGGATTCATCCGTGCTTCCTCTTCAGCCTCATGAGCCTTCAGAATCAATATTTAAGAAAACGATAAGGATGGCAACAATTTATATAGCTTTGAGAGCTTTACTTCTTCAGTCTTGGAGTTCATATTTTCATTAAAAAGGATTATGGGTATTTCTGTCTGATGACAATATTTTCTATAGAAGCATTATAAAAAGGAATGAAAATATATTCATAGTCTAAAATTATAGTAAAATGCTATTGTCCTGAAGGGGAACAGGATTTATTAACATTTTTTACATGTTAAAGTGACCATATTTTAAGGGTGGTTTTTAAATTTTAAAAAATCACCTTGTAATTTATATAAATAAATCACATTCAGCTTTTAAAGCATTTCAAATGTATAGGAAATTTATTAATAAAGCACATTCTCTCTCTTTCCCCATAGATATACACACACACTTTGTCCAAGTATAGGTGTACACACAGATACCTATACACACAGTGTAATCTGTGTCACCAGGTGTTTCAAATGCAGTTTGATCTGAACAATTTAAAAGGAAGAAATTGTTCTTACACCATGCTGTTTTGAAAAGACAAACTAATAAACTAAAAAAGTTGCTGTCAGCAGACGTTTTACCCAATAATCCTTTTTCTCTTATCGTTAATACTTAACCTGAAACATCAGAAGAACAAGCCCATTGGTGAAAACGGCACAAACCTGGCAAACACATGCATGGAGAGGTGGCAGTTTCACAGACAAGAAAGAACGCAATGAATACAACAACAACAGTGCAGCGCCCAATCTTACTCCCACCAAACCTAATGGCAAAAATCCTATTAACTTCAATGGGAGCATGATCTGGCATCAAGTGCTTTAAACTTTCGGCTGGAATAATCACAGACAGATGGAAACAACAATGCACTGCAATGCTTAGCCTACCCCTTGCTTCCCATTATTCCTAATTGGCATCTTGAAAAAGCAGGCAAGGAAAAAACAAGTAGTTTAAGGCAGTGCACATTAAACATAGAAAATTCAGATAACATTCTCTTAACATACAAGAACTTTACAGAAATTCAGGATATTTAGAACTGAATGTCCTCCAACTATCTTACTACGCAGAGAAAACATGGACCTATTTATGTTCTTAATTTCAGGGAGTAGACAATGCAAGCAATGAAAGAAATGCAGATCATAATGAAACATGCATGGTTTGGAAAGAATTACTATAAACTACACATAGTAGAAGGTTCATATTCTTTGCAATGGTTAAAATTTTCTGTATAAATAAAGAAAAAGTCAGGGTTTAGTATCAGTGCAATAATTAAAAGACTTGCAATAACTGGGGAAGAAACTTAGGGGGGTTGCATGTAACATATCATTTAAGCATGAGGATAATAAGAAAAAAGACAGTAGAGTTTAAGTGTTACTTATCCTACTGTGAGACTTTTATTCAGAAGTAGTATTAGGTTACCAAAATTAGCCAAGGGAATGACATAAGAAACCTACTGAATTTACTTGCCTTGCTCTCCAAATTATCTATTGAGGATAATAATACATGTTCCAGCCATGAATTCTATGCAGATACAGGACTTTGCTAAGACAGAGATCATTCTAGGTAATGTCCAAAGAGTATCTTGATTTTACTGTTTAGTTGAGATGTTAGCAATAGATGATTCCTTTTCATCCTCATAAATATTCCTGCTTATTAATAAACTTTGCTTTATTTTATTTATTAATTGTGTCCAAAAAAATTGCTTTTATCTAGCCTTTTAATTTTTTAAGTAAATGTAATACGCAGGGTCAGGGCCAGTTCTGGGAGACACTGTGTACCAATATCCAGCTTCTACCATTTCTCAAACAGGCAGAACACCCGCCTTCCTGCCTCTAACCAGTCTTCACTTCAGCACAAAAGAACCCTCAGCTTCAGCCCAGATTTTTTTCCCACCATGTGCCTCTACCCTAGTTTTACTCCAGGACAAGAAACAATGCAGAAGACCTAGAGAAGCCTGTCTTCTTTTTTTTCTTTTTCTTTCTTTCTCTTTGCTTTTCATTGCTGCACTGAACTTTCCATGATGAAAATACTTAAGTGGGCAAGAGCGTGGTGGTGTCACCAATGCAGAGGTGCCAAATGTTCAACTATCATAGAATACTGCCATTACACAGCAGCTCCGAAATGTACTGAACAAGTTACCTACTGCACAGCCGATAAATAAACATCACCTGAAATAACAGATATAAATTATATTCTTCAGTTTAGCCCTACAATCCTTGCTCAATGACATGCTAAGAAAATTAATGTTAAGTTGCAAAAGTATTTTCAATTCTTTTGCTTTCTGTGGTACTCATGCCATTCCATACGCGTGGGACGTGTTTTTGGCAAATTCCATAGCACAAGCTTGGTCACTCTATTTCCCTATGTTTCTCAGAAGGAAGCAGAACCTGCAAGATATGGTTAAATCTAACCAAGCAAGATATGATTAAATGTGATTAATTATCCAACCTATACAGGGTTTTGAGGTGCAGCAGTTAAACATAATGTCCCATATAAATCAAAATAAGCATTCAGTTCAAAGACAAGCATAAGTTATTCTAATTTTTAAAACAAACAAACAAAAATATCCCAGTTTTGCAGACCACTAAGTTGGTCGCCTCTACTTTTACAAGCACTTGCTATAGAATACTTTCGGACTTTGGAATCAGATTCCTACAAGGCAATTGCCTTAAAGAAGGAGGAAAGGAACGCTAGTTAAAAGGGAGAGCAAGAACATAAACCATTTTTTAAAAGAGACCTTATTGCAGGTGGTACTCAAACTCGCAAGGATTCCCTTGAAGGGAATCTTCACGTTGTAAGCAAAGCTGCTGATACTAGGTGAGAGTAAAACACAATCCCTCTGACATCCCCAGGACAAAGGTGTAGAACTACTTATAAGTGCTCTATTATATTTTATGGCTTTGAAGAATGTGTTTTGCTTAGAATTAGACACTTTTTTTTTTAATTGCTATTTACAGATTAGGGGTGATTTGTTGACAGATGGAACTTGACTTTTGAGGTCAAACAGTAGGCCCAAAGGAGATGAAAGGCAGCTCAGCTGACACTGACGCTGCTCCGACCCGGACAGGGCAGATGTCTGGCTTTTCTGTAGGCTGGGGGAGACAGGCTTGGATCACTTCTGACCACAAGCTGCATGGTTATCACATGAATCAGAAAGTCTCTACCTATTACTGCTCTCTTCTCTTCTATGTTTTTTTGAATTTCTGTGCCCCTTTTTCTCCTTAAGTTCTTGGTTTTCTTAGGAAAGACACATTTTCTGGTTTTATGGGACTTTTATGGCAGAGTGTGCCTGGTTCATGCATACCTTTCAGCAGCAAAGTAATTGCTGTCTTAATCTGTATCTGTAAATGATAATACTTGGGTGTACAGATTAGGCTAGTTTCAAGCTAGCCCACTTGGTTTATGATGTTTTGTCTGTCAATCTTGTGACTGTGTTGGTTTATGTTACTTTTACAATTCCATAAAACCAGCATATCACTACTATTAGAATTTTACTAACTCTTACAGTAATTATGTATCTGTTCTGTTACCTGCTGAATAATTTATACAATAAGTACTACCAATACTTTAGAAGTAAAGTAACATTTCCTTATATAAACTACAAATTTCCTACAGAAACACCATAATAGTGTGGTACAGACATTCAACATGAATTATTTAGTCTATCAAAATTTTATGGTACAATCATGCATGCATTATTTGCATAACAGAAATGGATGGATAGATATAGTATTTCATTTTTAAAGCTTCAAACACAAACATAGACAGAAATCAATGGAGCACTTCATTAAAAAAAATGGAAGAGCAGATTTTACATGCAAAAAATTACTTTGTAAGATCCTTCAAATTTTATTGCTTTCAATAATAAACTAAAAATATTGCTGTCACCTTAATATTTTTGTAGTCTCCTTAAAAGTTTTTATTTAATTTCAGGGACTGCTCTAACCAATTTCAGTTTGATTCTGGAAGTACTCTAAATTTTAATTTGACATTGCTCCGATGGAACATGTGGAACATTAAGTCTTTACTATTCATGAAAAGGTTCACCAGAATGCCAAACTGCGTATATCATTATATTTTCACTACAGGACAAAAGCAATCATCTAACTTCTTATAATCAATTTTGCACAAGAATTCATGGGGTATTTCAAAAAGTTCACTTTTCAAAACAAAGATGAATAAACACGTGCCCAGCTCTGTTTATATGTTATTCACACAGGTGAATGAAGAGTTAAATCATTTCCTCTAGACTATGCAGGATTTGCATCCCTTCCATATCATCTCCACTTTGGTACCCAAATGTGTGAAAGAATAAAATACTTCATCACTTTATTTTAATAACATTAGATTCTGCAATAAATTAAAGCCTTGGAGTTGATCCACATGTAAAAAAAAGTTCATTCCACCGCAGAAAGAAAAAAAAAAAAAAGTATTACTGCATGGGATAAAAGAGGTTTACTCAGAGACTGACTGGCATTTCTCTGCATATGTAAACAAAAGAGCATTAATACACCAGTATTTAAAGACTAGATTGCCACCTGTTTTTTATAACACTAACAACAAAAAAAGGTAAGAAAACATTCTATTACATGAATCATCACAATGATTTGCAGAACAAAAAAAAAAAATTAAGTAATTGCTATTATTCCATCACAAAGAATAAATGTGAAATCTTGGCCTTGTGGAATTCAACAAATATGTTGCCACTGATTTCAATCTAATCACAATTTCACTTCAAGACATTTGCTGGCTTGAGGGGAGAAGAGTATCATCACTTACGTTGTTAAAAGTAGACCGTTATATCTAAGTAGGTGTGCTGGGTTTAGTCAGGAGAAGAAAGAAAATGAGCAAGAAAAGTTTATTTAAGAAAACCTGCCCCATGAATATACTACCATTGCTGCCTGGTGCCAATGAAAAAGAATCATGGATCTGTTATTTTGGAACAGCCAACAGGTGGTCGTTTTGAAAAATAAGCACATAAAGGCAGAAAAAATAAAATTAAAGACTTTGGAATACCATACAGAAATAGACTAGGTAGTAACAAACAAATTCCATAGAGTAGCATAACTAATATTGAAATAATGACTAGAACGCGTTTATGAAAATCAAGAAAAAAACTTACACAAAAAAGACTCGTCTGTGAAGACATCCACAGTAGGAGTGCAAATGATATGAATAGAAACATAACTACCACAAAGGTGAGCCAAGATGCTACAGAAAAAGGGGTCTTATTGTTCAAAGGCAAAAGCTCTTTGACCAGAAGCGCTCTGGATGGTGAAGGTGATAATATGGATATGCCTATTCTACTTACAATCCATTTATGACTGGATTCTAACAACAGCTAACCAATAACTCTAAAAGTAAATACAACACATTCTGTGGGACTCTCTTTTCCCATACGTAAGTCATGACACTTCCATTACATGGTCAGAAGCTACAAAACTTAGCAATAATAGACCCCAAAGCTGGAATCCTGGTTCAATGACACTAATGGAGAAATTCCCATTGACTTCAGTGAAGACAATACCTTCACTAACGCACAGTATCACATTACTTAAGCTAGAGAACCAGTTCTTCTATATATACTATCCCAATTACATGGCAATTCCAACTATGATTACTATGTAAACTGTAGCTTGTAAACTGCTAGTACGGTTACATCATTTTTTTCAGTCCTGTGACATTCAGAGCACATTAAATGTAACAGTCTCAGCCAAAAAAATGAAAACTGTTCTCTGCAGAGAGCATGTTTGTTGCAGGTTTTTCTCAAGCTGAAAAGGGAACATGGACAAGTTAAAAGGGTAGATATTGTGCAATTACAGCAGACATTAGCAAGAAGAATAATGCTAAACAAGCCAAAGTAATAATGCTGGGCTTTTTCAAACACTACCCTTTGCGTTCATCATTTTATATTTCACCATTTTCTTTGATTAAATATGTTTCCATATTCTTAATGTATATATGCTGAATGTATACTGCCTTTTATTAGTAAAACTCATCTGAACTATTATAATCATACTGACTTTTGAAAATAATACCAGTCTCTTCCTAGGTATTATTCACATAGTCAGCTCAGTCACTTAAGATAACCTGAGTGGATTAGAAGTTATTTAAGTTTGAAGGATCAAATAAAGTACTGCAGAAGGAGGAATTAAAAAGCAAAGCAAAGCACCAAATAAAATCATCTGCATGCTTTTTCTAATGGAGAAGTTGAGGACCTAAAGGCTAGGATGTTTGTTTTCTCAGAAATATTGTATGTACCTATTTAATACAGTTCATATTCTTAAAATGGCCTTGAAGTCCACAAAGTTCACTTATTTGGATATAATGAATATAGCATAGTGAGCGTCAGACGTATTCTGCAAAGCTCCACGGAGGAAGAGCACAACACAGTAAGGTAATGGATCCTCATGCTTTCATATGTTACAGCGGGCATTTTAAAAAAGAACTTACTGGATTGTACATCTGATTGAACAACTGCTCAGCTTGCTACATTGCAAAGTTGGAAGGGAGTGAAGCACAGACAGGAAAAGAAGGAAAGATCCAGGAAAACAGCATTAGCTCAACAAAACCAGTGCATTTGCACAGAAGAACTTGTCATAAAAAAAGTAGAAATTTAAGATTCTAAACATTCCTTGGTGAAAGTGAGAGGCACTAGGGAAACATAAATGTTGACTTTGGCTCCTAAAAAAGAATAGCTGGAGTAAGAAATTTAAGGTTTGTGTTACTTTCCCTTTCTCAAGTTAAATAACCCATGAAATAAAGAAAGGTGTCCACTTTTGATGATACATTAAGTGCTGGTCTCAAGCAATGAATCATGAGAAGTGCTTTTGGCTGAGGCTGCAATTTATCACCAAAGCTTCAAAGAAGGTAATAATAAAAGATTAATTAAATTGTATCATTAAATTTATTACTTTCCTTTTGTTTAACACAAGGCTGAATTTTCTATGCAGAATGACTTTCGAACAGTACCGCTTGGCAAACAGTACTTTAGCAACTGCAAACATGTCAGTAAGCAAGTAAATTTAAGATAATGAAAAACAACAAAACGAGGAAATTCTAGGGTGGATAACAAGATTTTATATATATATATATATACATACATATATATAAAACACTTCGCTACCTATTAGGTAATTCCTGTAGTTCTTTCACTAGCAAATGCGAACAATCCAGTTACATAATACTCAAAAAATATTTGGATCTAATCAGACCCCATCAAAAATATCTTTGTTATCAACAAATGAATCTTATTCTCTCCAGAATCAGGAAGGAGGGGAAACAAGGGAAGAGAAATGTCAACAATTTTTTTTTTTTTCTAAATTTACAGATTTTGTTTGGACTTGCCCCTTGTACACATTTCCTTTCAGTCACAGTACTCATTACCATTTGTGCTCATGGAAAACTAACTCCTAGCCAATACACATGGAATACTACCTTCATATTCATTAGTGTAATTTGTTAAAACACATAAATCAGCATTAAACTATAATGATTTTTACAATATCACAATGAGAAGTGCCTTCTCTATGATATTTTTTGAGAGAGAAGTGATGTGCAAGCTGCATTCAAATTTCTCAGCATAATAGACAGTCCCTTAGGGTCACTTTTGAAAGAGAGATATAAACTGTGCCTATTCCTTCTAGCTTCCGTAGTGGTTAATGTTCATGCATAAGCACACTTATGGGACATGCAGGTTAATTTACTCCGAACTATGTTGATGTACCCTCCTACGCTAACTCAGACATAGGGAAGAATAGTACCCAGATTTCTGTTTCAGTTAGTTTCCTAAGGAGTGAAAACATGGTGAAGGTAGTTTTCTGGGGACCAATTACTTTTAACACAGGATATTTACAGGTTTAAAAATAAAGTATTTTATTAGAGAAAATGTGAATTGAAAATTACTGTTTGGAGTCTACTATCATTAACAGTCACTGTTTCTGTTCAACTAAGTATGCCCACAAAGAAGGTTGTAACTACATTTTATTGTGGAAATACCTGGTCTCCTACAAATGTTGGGTGAATTTCCATTGAGACTTTATGCTGTATTTATGATATAATAAAACTATTATGTTTTCAAATTTCATTTCATAATCCTTTGTATTTATACACAGGGAACATACTCTCTTTTTATATGAAAGACGTCCCAGACACTCTGACTTTATAAGTGCTTATTTTTCCGTGACTGTATGATGTGTTTATATGTTCAGTCATAAAAGAGTGACTTAGGATTTCCAGTCCTTCAAGAGGATTTAGATTTTTTTTTTAAGTGATATGTGCTTTTAGAGTTTTTTAACTATTTTTTGTAAATGAAGAAACTACAGATATTTCAAATTCTTGTGAAGTATATTTTGTAGTGAACAGCAAATTACACACACATTTTCTAACAAAAGAAAACAAAATAAAATACTTCCAGAGGAATAGCTTCTTTGGTTATTTTAATTCTGACATCAGTAGCATTTATAAGCTGTCAAGCATTTAAAGTAGTTGTGTTTCCATTAGAAGCTTTTGTATGTGTTTATTTAAAAGATTCCCTTCCTTCCTGTCCACCACTGAACATGTAACAAAGGCATCTAATTGCACATATTCGTTCTGAATTAAAAAAATAACACAAGTATAAGGTTTACACTCTGGTACCCTTTATACTTTGCAGTACCTTCTTCACACTGAAACAATGCTTAAACACAGAGCAGGATACTATTTAACTTGGGTAAAAAGAGCATCAGGATATCATCCTAATGGTGGCAACATTCATAGGAGAAATCAATATTCTATTCTAGAAAATTAAACATTAGATATCAACATAAATAATAACGTTTGACATACACGTAGTCATGAATTGCAGAAGGCAAATGTAATGCCTACACCCATCAAGTATGTCACGAGATTGGTGTTCGAACAATGACAGCAGACATTACCAAAGGACACAGAAGAAAGTCAAAAAAACAATGGATGGTGGAAAAGGCATCAACAAACTTGCAAATCATTTAAGCAAAAACTATTTTAATGAGTCAATTTAAATAAAACCATGTTATAAAATATAGTATTCGTGTTCCTTTAAAAGCTTGCTTCTACTTCGTGCTGAATAGAACTAGTGAATTGCTAGCTGAGATAAACTATGCATTCTTTTGCTCAATTATCACAAATATGTTCACCAGCAAAGCCAAAAAATTGCCAAAATAAAGCCTAACTAGAGTTTCTATTCTGGAAGCTGATTTTTTTTTTTTTTTTTATTAGGAACTATAGCATTCCTTGGACAAATCTTTAATTTTTTCCCATGCTACAAACATTTCAGTCTACTTCTAATAGCAGTATAAATTCATATACATACAGGTTGCTGGTATGATAATTTCTTTCTGTCCTTCTATTTTCCCTTTAACGTCCTGCTGCCAGTTCATCTATTTGTAGCAGCTTGTCCGAATTCCCTCATATAGGTAGGCAAGATAATTTCCAAGGCCCACTAGTGGCTTTGGTGCAAGCTTCTTAAGAAAAAGTTAGCAGTATTTGATGCAAGCATCAGCAAATGGCATAATGGGTAGATTTTAGATTTACTCCAGAAGAGTAAATAAACTCATCTTTTCAAAGCGAGGGCATGAGATGTTGATTTTTGTTTTTCTGATTGTTGTTGTTTGTCGTAAGATGGAACTTACCTTTTTCAACTGTGCTTCCAACTTACTACACTCTTCTTTCTTTTGTTCTATGGCTATTTCTAAAGACTTAAGTTTGGAGTCTCTTTTCAGCCCTGCTGATGCCAAGGAAGATGCATGTTCTTTGAGATCGATTAAACTAGACTGAAAAATGACCAAGAGTAAAAAGTTAATTCCTAGTCACCAGGACACTAACTTATTGTCAGCTCAGTAACCACGTAGATCCTGTTCCCCCTCCCCTTCCCCAAAAAGAGTTGGCACAAAAAGAAGCGTTGATCGCAAAAGACAACGTTTTGAGAATACAACCAATTGGAACCACAGGAGCTGGCGTGCAGTGAAACACAGAAACATTCATAATACAGACAGTTGACATCATATTCTGGAGGTACAATCACTTTGAAAGTTACTGCTCCAACTGACAAAGGAAAACCAGAGCAACAATGGAATATTTGAGCCTACTGCAGGCTTAGGTAAAGGAAAAAGTAATGATAATGACAGACAACTATGCAAAAATTGAGGCAATATTTAATGTACAAAGGTGAGGACTAGGAAGAATGCTTAAAAAAATAGCAGTTCAGAAGCTGTCCACAAAAGTGGCAGAATTTCAGTACTTAAAATCATTCAAGAGTAATCCTAATGCACTTTCATTCATCAGAATGACACAGATAGAAGAACACAGACTTTACTGAAGAGACTGACCTCTTTTTCTGTCAGTTCAGCTTGTAAAGCATTAACTTTCTCCTTCAGGTCTTTGTTTTCTTTTTTATAAGACTCAATTTCTTCAAGTCTTTCTCTGTCATCTCGCTCCCTTTGCTCCTTCAAGCGCTCTATTATTCTTTCCTAACAAGGGAAAGAATTGCAAAATGGAAAAGTTAGAAATCATTTGAGGAAAAGAAAGAATAAAATTTCTATACGTTATGTAGCACTTAGAAAAATCTACCTTCAGAAACAGAGGATTATTGAGTTAATAACAGTATTAAAGTCAATGCAATATTTCCCTTGATTTCAAAAGCATCAGATCGTTTTAAATACTTGATAAGAGTAACATTGCACAGAAACCTCATTAAATACCTATAATGATACGGAAAATTATTCATCTCAGTAGTGTACTTCCTGGATTCATAAGCAACTGGAGCCTTGAATAAAAGGTCAAAACAGGGAGGTCATGACTGGTTTACTCAGCTTGAATTTGGTTATGTCTTTTGAATGCTAGTAGCCTCTATAGTGGTTGCAAGAAGTATTCAAGTTTCCAAATCTAATTAAAAATCAACCACTTGTTAACTGTAACTTACAATTTATATGTATTCTGAGAGGGGTAAAAAACCAAGTTGTCCAAGACACAGAAAAAGTACCCCAATACAACATGATATCTAAAGGAAGATTTTTCTCCATCTAATCAACAGTACCCCACACACATTTTAACTGAACCTCGTTTTTAAATATTTTGCTGAATTCCAGTTACAGTTATAATGATTGCTGAAAATCATCACCAGATTGGGTGATGAATTCAAAGGCTGAAATGTAAAACCCAGGTGCAGCTGTATGGTTTAGTTAAGTTTTGATTACATTCTTCAAAATCACATTCTACCAGTACTTGGAGAATGTAAATACTAATCAGAGAGAAATATTTAAGGTAAAATAAAATAACCAATAGAACTGCATTTGAATTGGGAATAGGTCAATTTAAGCAGAGTAGCAGGGGAACTACTAGTATCATTTTGGAAGTGGTAGTTTGGGGGGGGGGTGCAATGGAGGCAACCTCATTTAGGAAACTTAAACCTACATGGGAGAAAACTGCATCCTGTCTGAAGGAGTTCTACACTACCAGTGGTGTGGCTCAGGAAGAACCATCAGCATGATCATGAATCCTATTCAAATCCTTTTGTACTTAGGCTTGAAATCCCTTTGAAAGAGTTTTAAGAGTGAGATCAATACTTCAAATACTATTGTGTAGAACCGGACAAGATTGGTGGAAGCCTAATATTATTAAAAAGAGAAAAATCTCATGATAATTCCCTCTGTTCATGACTCCTTATACTGCCATATACATAAATACACACTAGACATAGATATATATGTATATACACACATACATATACACTACATATACATAAAGTTTACCTTTGCCCATAGCAATATACTATCAGCTGTGGTTATTGTATCCCAAAGAATACAATGCAAGTTTAATAGTTTAATAACTCTTCAGAATCCACCTAGTTATAGTCAGACTTAGTTTTATACCAATTCTTTCTTGAAGTTTATTTACCTAAATGATTTTTTCTCTTTATAAAAAATTAAACTTAACCTATTTCATCTTCCTTATGAATAGTCTAAATTTTTTCAGTCAATCACAAAAGAAGACTAATTTATCTGTCAGCTGCATAAAGCTAAATGTCAAAAATGTGTTAAAAGGCCCTAATATACCATGTTTTACTTGATTAACAGCTAACTTGCAGAAATCCCAACAATGTGTTCTTGTTTCAGACTTATTTGCATTGGCGAGCTTTCCTCCTGCACTAATCTGGGACCTCACAGGTCTAATCTCTTTGCACTTTATCACAGAAGCAGGAACCGAATTGCCACAGCATACAGCTCTATTATCAGACATACTCAATTGCTTATCTGCTGTATGCTGCTACAGTAGGACCAACTTTATAAATATCAGCTTCATGAAAGCAACCTCTTGAGCTGCTTTGGGCCAGTCCAAGAGCTGAGATATTCTTTGAAAAGTTTCTTGTTAAAACATCAAGGAAGCTGATAGCAGTCTTGCATCTTCAAACTCTTTCTTTTTTCTTTTTTTTTAATAGAAGTAAACTTACTTTTTGTTTATTGCAATGTAGCCTTTATTTTTGTTAAGCATTTTCGGTGCTTTGGAGAGACTCCAAATTTACGGGTAAAGAACTGAATTAATAGCTTTTTCAGTTTAGTTCTATAATGCACTGAAGAGTGACTAAAGTTGTGCCAATTTGTTTCTGATTCCCATGAGAGAACAAATTATATCAGGAGTATTGCCAAAAAAATACAGAAATTAGGAGTCAGTTTTGAAAATTTCTATGCTGTTTCATGGTGTCTGCATTAATTTCTCATTTAGCATCACCAACCTACCCAATCACTAAATATGAAAGAAAAAGAAAATCAGAGACAGATACTCGGAAAATTCTACTTTCATGAAGAATAAGGAGCTATATTTTCTAATTCAGAGCCAAAATCTCAATCTAAGTATTTTCAAAAACAATGCAGGAAAAACAAACTCAAACATTTGAGTTTTGGAACTTAAAAACAGCTTCATAATTCATTCATTTCATATGATCATGTTTCAGTAATTTTTCTTCCCATAAAAACTAAAACAGCAATTAAAATCAGTGAATTGTGGTTACCCAAACTTCTATAAATAAATTTTATTTCTATTTTAAAATAACAGATTCTCTTGATGCTCTTGGAGTCTTTTCTTCATTAATTATTAAATTAAAATTCTAAAACCTTGAATTGACAAAGAATTAATGTAAAGCCAAGAATTGTGACTAATTTCAGAGTATAACAAGGTGATACGGGTTTAAAGTAGGTCTGATATAAACTCTAGGATAAACTAGCAAACAAAAAAACAAACAAACAAACAATGTATTTCCATGGAAATTAGGTATTCTTCTTGGTTGAAAACAGCATCCTTTCTTGACAGCATTACAAATTTAAATTTATAAAGGTGCTTAGATTGATGCACTGTTAATACACTATCACTAAGGGTTTTTGTTTTCTCCCATTCAGACAAAAATCAATTCCATATTTCTACCATTATTTCCAGTGGAAAAAGATAAAAACTACTGATAAATTCTGAAGGCCTTAAGAAAGCTACTGCAGACAGGAATAGGGCTAAGAAAGGTTACTCACTGAGAGCAGGTAGGATGAAATGGAAAGCTGGATACAAATAGGAATGAGACAGACATGTAAACATAAACTGTCAAGGTATTTAGCTGCCAGAAGACACAAGAAAGCTAGGCATAATAATTTCATGTGGAACATCTAGAAGATGCCTACTGGCTTCTTTCAATGTACAGGTACATCCCAGAGGCTAGATTTAAGATTGAGAAACCTACTCTTGAAAAAATGGCCTTCAAGAAACCTACAATGAGAAAGAAATTGGGCAGGATTACTTTTTACAATAAACAATCAAAATCATAGGAAGACATGCTTTTACCTTAGAAACCTCCTCCTTATTGTGTCTAATGTTCTAAGATCAATTACTCTATTTCCCAAAAGCTCACATTAGTTCTACTCTGCAGTACCGTTTTTTGTCTTTTGTTATCTAATACTAATCACTCCTCAACTGAAAAAGATTTCCCAGTAGCACACAGTGATTGTCACACATTAAAAGCTAAGTTCTCAAGCTCATTTGCAGGAAAAGGCTATTGTTTAATAATTCTGTGTATCTTTTCCTTAGACTAAGGGAGTAGCATTTCTGAAGTAATACAGAAGGATAAGCATATCACTAACATATAGAGTACTTCCCTTTATATACTGCTACCTAACCTTTATAAGTAACGATCTCTCCATAATTGATTGAAAGTCACCAGAAACCACAGCACAACCCAGCTTCATGCCGCTTCTCAGAAGCACTGGCTTACAAAAGACACCATTGCCCTCATCAGCTGCAACAAGACAGAAATCTCTGTGCCATGGGAAACATCCCATGGCATTCACTGTATGTGTGTCTGGGAGCAGCCTGCACGCACTGCAGGAAAGACGCTATCCTCAGCTGACTGTAAGCAAAGAGACTACTTGGTACAGATTTCAACCTTAGGGACACCACGTGAGTTCTAATCAATTCCACTTGGAAAAAACACTAATCCCATGGATTTAATACTATTAACCACAATGCCTCGCTATTTCTGAAGCACAGTTTCTCTTCATTACAAACCAGTATAATCATAGAATCATAGAATCACTAGGTTGGAAAAGACCTTAGAGATCATCCAGTCCAACCGTACCTGTCCACCACTAAACCATATCTCTCAGCACCTCATCCACCCGTCTCTTAAACACATCCAGGGATGGTGACTCCACCACCTCCCTGGGCAGCCTGTTCCAGTGTGTGATAACCCTTTCGGTGAAGAACTTCTTCCTTACGTCCAATCTAAACCTCCCCTGGCGCAGCTTGAGTCCATTCCCCCTCGTCCGATCATCTGTCATTAGGGAGAAGAGACCAACACCCACTTCTCCACAACCTTTGATTCTTTCAAAATGTGTCCATTCATATATATCCATGCAACTCCAAGTGAAGTAGACATGAATTGCAAAAACATAGCTCAGAGAAGTATCTAAGTTTGCCTAATTTTTTCCAAAACATTAAAACTAACATCCTGTACTGGGCCTTGAACCTTTATTACAGCAATCAAATAAAGCTTGACACAAAACTTCCATACCATCAGGGTCTCTAGTGTTGTCACATTCAGTGGTATCACATAAAACTAAGGAATTCTATAGCACAATTTTTAAACAAACTTGGGACAAATCACTCAGTCAAAAATAATGCATCCTGCATTTAGTAAAATTTTACAATTTGTATGTCTGACAATAATAGAATATTTTATTTTCAGATACATACAAAACTTCTTAAAAATTATAAACACTTTTACTTTTTTTATTACTTTACATTTATTTCAACAGATTTTAAAATAGTAATGGTACAAAATTACTTGAAAACAACTAATTGCTACACATTAATTCGGGTTAGGTTTTAACCCAGTACTTTTTAATCTTTTGTATTTCTGGTAGTAAGAAGTTGACTATACATGATCTATTCAACACCTCCACACTAACTGCTTCCACTATGAACCCTGGCACTGTCATTAATTTAATATTTTTGACAGAAAAATAACATTACAATTGAAGACAGATTGCAACTTAGCAAATTACCCCAGCTAAGAAGTACTGCAGAAGGGCATTTCTCTGAAGTGCTGCACATATAGCTGAGGCAGAAAATGGGATACAAGATTTATTTGGCTTTTGGCAACCTATTTCTTGCTCAGTTGCACAGGAGAACTTGCAAGTTTGCAGCGTGACATTCAACTCTGCTTTCTGCATTGACAACAGTATCATGATGATTAAAGGACTTTTTTAAACTCTCAGCTGCCTCTATGGGCACTTTGGGAAAGTGACAATGTAAACAAATTCAGAAAAGATAGTGTACAAGGAGAAAAAACAGATTAACAAGTGCTTTGTGTCATTTCTTAATAATATGATGTGAGATTGGTGAGCACTGTATCCAGATTAGCAGTGAAAGATTAACAAAATGCATCTAACTTTCTTTACTGCATAAATCCTGTCAGCTTATCCATATGAAGCCACAGAAGTAATAGTAATGCCAACTTCTTCCACTGTTGTTAACTAGACAAATGCTAGTAGGGTTTATGATTAACCTTACTAAACATACTATTTATGTTTAAACATACAAAGAAATCAAAAACCTAACATTAGCATTTTGGGTGTTAGTGGCAACACCACAGTGGCATTTTAAAGTCGTATACAGTCATGAATACTTTCATGGGATTACACACTGCAGAACGGCCCACAATACTTCAGATACTTGCACTCACCTCTGCACACTGAAGTGATATATATTAAGATCCGTGAGCTGCAAAAAGTTGATACTTGTACCAATTTTTTTAGCATATAAATTCACTTGGATTACCTCGTATTCAAAGTTAACTGGAAGAAAAACCCTGACCGCACTGGTAAGAATGTAGCCACTAATTTAAACAGATCAGATTTGTCCTTTCTGCTAGGTATTTTCAAATTAAAGGCATATAATTTTTAAAGAAAATAAAAGTAATTCCCCGTTTTTTAATGAAATACAGCTTCTCTTATGCATTAAGTGTAGGAAACCAACAGTGCTAACAGCAAGCCAAGGTTAACAGTTGGTACAGTCACTTGCTGTTGGCACTTCAGTTTGGCTCTGCTTAACAGACAAAAGAACAGAATAATCAAGATAAAAAAGACATAAGACTACTCAAAACTCTACCTCCTTTAAGTCAGGTGTCCAGGACTTGCAGTTCTTTCAGGGAACAACCACTCATCCCACTGATTAAGTGAAAATCTTCTCATGTCCTGAGCCATTTACTCTGTCCCCGTTTAAAAGGGCATCCTTCTTCACTTACGAGTCCTGTTCAGCTCATCAGCTGGGAATCACCCCTTGCTCATCCCACCAGAACAGAGGCACCTGCTTTCCTGACAAGCTTTGTTACAGATGCTAGACCAACTTAAAAAGACTTTTTCTGGACACACTTCACCCACAAGAGCAGCACATAATGCTGTTTCATGAGAAAACATTACCTTTTCTGACAGAGCTTCTTCTAAGGTTGCTAGTGCTGTGTCTGTGTTACTAGAATCCGTCTGCAAAGACTTCACTCTGTCTTTTAGATTAGTTAGCTGTTTGTCTTTGTCCCTAAGTTGCTCCTGTAGATTTTCAATCTGAAAATGAAACAGATCATAATATTCATCAAGGTTGTCTTAACATTCAAAGTGGGACTTGCGTGCTAGGATCAATTGATTGTATGCTATCACATAGATATGCCTCAGTATACTGCCGAGTTTTTTACATGGTATATTTTCAACAGATTTTAACTTCTGTGTTTTCTATTTTGTTTCTCTTTGCTGAAAAGTATAATTTTCAAATAAATTATACGAAAAATCTCAGTGCAGTCAGGTATTTTATTATTTAAATATTTTCTGATATTAATCACTTTAGTTTAAGGTACTGCATTATGTCAGTAATTCAAAGTATGTGTGGAATTACCCCTTTAGATTATTCTAGTTGCAATAATAAAGACAAAGCAAGGGAGAGGCAACAGTGAGCCTTAAACTGAGGACAAAGAAAGATGATAACCTAACCTACCTATCTACAAACCTCTTTCCTGTAAAGGAAACTCACCTGGACAGAGATCAGGATGTTTATATTTCTAAGAGCCAAACCCAGAAACAAAAAAATCCAAACAACCTAACAGCCACCATTTCCACCCACTTTCTTCATCGCTATGATGATCTGGGGCAATCTCAAGCACAAGTAC